TTGTTTTGTTGGTGTGGTGTTGTGAAGCGAAAACAAACACATCACACAAAACTAGCAAGAAGTCGCAAGAATAATAGTCAGTCACCTACCTATAATAAGATTACTCTCAGGGTCCTAGCTTACTTATAAACATTGACTCAACTCACTTACCTACAAATTTGTATTTCTCGTTTTAGATGTTTCAAGTATTTTATTTAACATATTTTAGCGTTTTTATTTTACTTGAAGCTTTTTAATTTATGTTAAGCCCTAGCCTACCTACAACTGTTTAACTCATCACAGTCCCTAACTTACCTATGAATTAAATTAAAGCCCGGTTCACGGTAAAGAAAATATAAAGTTGAAGAGAAACATAACAACAACGACACCGAATGAATGGATGTTGTGTATGCATGTGTTGTATGTAAATGTGCGGGCGCGCACTCCCCAGAAACTTCACTCACTACCGACTAACCTCCATTGCACCGACAATCATCTGACACGCATCGATGGAATGAATTTGACCGGATACTGAAAAATAAATTGAAAAAAAAATTAATTCGCTAAAATAAAAAACAAGCAATTGGAAAAAATAGGCAACTTATCTTTTTGAGATAACACTCAATCTTTGTTCAAATTCGAGTACTTTCAAAGGTACAATGAGACAAAAACAAATTTACCTTTAACATTATCTTCGATTTGTCATCGGAACATTCATCATGAGACCACCATCTGAAACGTGCTGACGCCCACCACAGCCCACCTCTCATCATTCTGTAGACAAGTTTTTATTAATTAGCGAAGTAGTAAATCAAGAAACAAAGGAACGAACGAATAAATGACTAACTGAATGATTGAACGATTGGTTGAATGAATAAATTAACTAATTAATTAATCAACCAATGATTTAATGAATGAATAGAATGAATCAATGAATAAATTAACTGAGGAATAATTTGAAAGAGTGATAAAATGAATGAATGAATGAGAAAAATAAAAAAAAGAAACTAAATCATACTTCAAAAACCATCGTTGTTGTTATCTTCGAATTGTCATCGGAACGATCATCATGAGACCTCCATCTGAAACGTGCTGATGCCCACCACAGCCCACCTCTCATCATTCTGTAGACATTTTTTAATAGCGTATTAGTAAATCAAGGAACAAAGGAACGATCGAATAAATGATTAACCGAATGATTGAATAATTGGTTGAATGAATGAGTGAATGAATGAATTAATTAATAAATCAATGATTCAATTAATGAATAGAATGAATTAACGAATCAATTAATAGAAGAATAATTTAGAAGGTTGAGTGATAAAATGAACGAATGAGAAAAATATAAAACGAAACTAAACTTTAATTCAAAAATCTTCGTTACTGTACTTTCCATTGCACCGACCACCACCATCTGGTCGGCACACAAAATACCATCCGAACTTCAGAGTGTCAGTCGAACAGCCAACGAGCTGATTCTTCCTACACCACCATCATCATATGTAATTCATCATGAGACCACCATCTAAAACGTGCTGACTCCCACCACTGCCCACCTCTCATCATTCTGTAAACAAAATTTTTTTATTTGCGTAGTAGTAAGTGAATGTTAGGATCTTAGAAGCAAAAATAATTAAATTATAAAATGAAAATAATGTCAAATAAATAAAATTTTAAAATAATAAAGTATGTAAAATGTAAAAAAAACTCAAAATAAATTCATGCATAGTCAACGTATGCGTAGTTAAACTTTAGAAAGGTCGAAAATTCGATTTATCAAAAATAATCTTTATAGAACCAAGCAAAGACCAGTGCGGTGGAGACAAAAACACAGTCAAAAACATAGCGGACACGATGATGAAGAAAAAGTACAGGATGGCGCTAGCGGTCTCATGTGCGTGTCCGAACGGAAGGTAACTGCCAAATGCGAAGTAACCACTCAGCAAAGCCTGCACCAAGGAGATGTAATGATTTGTCTCATGTCTTTCTTTCAATTGTTGTTGAATGCCTCAATACTTTGTGTATTATATAATATATTATATATATACAATACTTTATAATACTTTGTGGTGATTATGGTCGTTAGTTGAACACGAAAATTAAAATTATTTAATTCTGTTTTGTACGTCCGAAAATTTATTTCCATTCTTTGGTCATCTACATAAACCAAATTCTGATTGCGTGTCAGTTTTAAGTTTTTATAAAAAGAATAACGCTAGAAAAGTGTTTCATTATTGGAATTTGCTTTTCACGTTTTCTTATATTATGTTCATAAATTGGTTTTAATGTACTTGTGTGATCAGTGTCCGGCATGTACGGGTTCGGCGTTAATAAGTTACATTATTTATTCACAATTGTTTTATTATGTGCACAAAATCTTGCTGAAAAATATGACGAGGAGACTTTTCTGTTGTACAAGTGAGTTTGTAGTTGTCTTGATGCATCTGATACCAGAATCTTTAGTTTAGCTAGCTAGATGTAGATAAAAAATTCCTAACTAATAAATATAAAATAGATAAATAATAATAAATAATCAATCTTCAATTGAATAGAACATGGCAACGCAAAAGTAATTTATCTGGTTAAGTTTATCAATATATTTTATTTTATATTTAATCATTAATGTTTTAGTAAAAAAAAAAAGTGATGACCATGATTTAAAAAAATCAATTTGATAACATTACAAACACACTAACTGACTAACCTAACAGCTTGAGACTTAACTTGAGTGAGATCCTAGATAAGAAAATTCAATAATAAAGTAACACAGCACCATTGGATGACTCTATTACCAATAACTTTGCTATAGCATATTATGTTTTTTGTTATGCGTTGTAAAGTTAACTAAACTAAGCCTATATCAGCTATTTCATCATAATCCTAGGGCACAGGCATAGAATAGAGTCATATTACAATTCTTCTCATCAGTTTAATACCCACAGCTTTTTTAACTAAACTAAATTTTAGCAATTAATATTAATAGTTTAGTTACTAAACTTTTAATTTAATTAGACTATTAAATAAATTAATTGTTAATTGTTCTTTTTTGGCTCATCTTAGCATAAAGGTAGTGTAGGTTTATATGGTGGCTCTTATTGTCAGATTCACAGTTATAAATTTTACAAATGCAACAATGATGCAATCTGTAAATTAGGTATCAATTTCATCACACCAATGTTTTGAAGTGGAGGAGTTGGACTCTTTCACTTTGAACTCCAAAAAAGAATCATATGTCATGTCTGGACTTAGGGCCATAAAGAAAGATTTTTGTGTAGTATTACTTTTTTGTTGTTGCAGAAGAACTGTGAAATTTCAACTAAGAAATTTTTATTTGATTTAAAAATTATTATTTTAAAACAAAATTTAACAAAATAAAAGCTTTGGGGGCATAATTTGTTCATCTATTTCTTGTGTTGAAGAGTAAAGTCGATCTTCCATTTTCTCGTCAGTATCATAGAGATGCTTTAAAGAATGCTAAAAACAACACAATCATCTAATGTAAACTCTGAGGAAAATTGAAATATATTTTTTGTACTGAAATAAAATTATTATGCAATAGTTTTTAATAACTTTTTAAGTAAAAAATTACAATATTTGACAATTCATATCTATTGTTGTCGTATTACTGAGTTCAATCTTTCAATAAAATTATTTAAATGTAACCACCAAAGGAACAAGGTGAGGAGAATGTTTGAACATGCCTATGGTGGCTACATGCAGAATGCCTTCCCTCTTGATGAACTTCGACCTCTGACATGTGATGGACAAGATACGTGGGGCAGGTATGTGGTTCATCACTTCTTCTGTTGTCTCTTTTGAAAATCACAGTCTTAAAATGTGTTATTTCAAATTCAATTTTGTAATTGAACTGCCAATAGATTTTTAATGTAAAATCAATTGTATTATGTCTGACACGATGATTTTTATTAGCTTTTAGGCTATATAAGCCTAGTTTTCAAAAAAAAAAATTAGTAATTTTTTAAAAATTAATTGAAAGAATTCAAACTTTTTACAGGTACTATTTTTATATGTACGAGTTTTGCTGTGAATTAAGGAATTTTTAGATTGCTATTTAGATATTATTTTTGGTAGATCTTCTGTAATATTTGACGATGTTTCATGCTGCCATTATGTTGAACACATTTCTCTCGTGTAGTTATTCATTAACACTGATTGATTCTCTGGACACCCTGGTCGTTTTGGGAAATTTTTCTGAGTTTCGTAGAGTTGTTGACATACTTCTGAAAACGTTAAATTTTGACAAAGATCTCAATGTTTCTGTTTTTGAAACGAACATAAGAGGTTAGTTTTAATTTTAATTAATATTGTTTTACTCTACTTGTTCAAAAGCTTAATTGCCATAAATTTTGTTGAGCCAATGAAGAACTATGTTGCCCAACATCAAACCATCAAGTCGCCAATATTTTCAAAAACTTACAAAATATTAATATTAATATTGTATTATTGTATGTTACTTTCAACTAAATGGATGTTAATACTGGAAGAAGGTTTCACTTCATTGCTTTTCTCAAGTCTAATTCTTGCTTAGAGATAATATATTTTTGAGGAGGAATTTTTTTGAATGACTTGAAGTTTTTCATCTGGAAATTAAAATAAGAGTATTTAGCTCAGCACATTTGCTTTTTGATTTTGTAGATTTGAGTTCAAAAATTAAACATATAAGTATTGTTATTGTTAGGAAATATTCAGTTTATTTACCGAAAGGAGCTTCAAATCACTGATTCCAAATGATAGAGTAATTTGTAATTTAAAGTGGGTTATTTTATCCTAATTGTTATTTTTAGATCATATAAATTAAAATGGGATATCACTTGTTATATTATACTTGCAGTTGTCTTTATTTTGTCATAATCAATATATCATAACAAGTTAGATTTAACAATATGTTGTTTTGAAATAGATATTTCAAATAATGGTAATTACATTTGTCTTTAAAGTTGTTGGTGGTCTGCTGTCGGCTCATTTGTTATCCAAAAGAGCAGGCCTGGAGTTGGAGGAAGGGTGGCCATGCTCTGGTCCACTGCTCAGGCTCGCTGAAAAGGTTGCCAGGAAGCTTTTGCCTGGTCTGTAGCAATGTTGATTGCGTATGTATGTGTGTGTTTGTGTGCCTGTGTTTGTCTTGACAACCTCCCAATCCCAAACATGTTCATTACAAAACGTGTGAAATGTTGATGAATTAGTAACTGTTATACAATGTAGACATATCATGAACATGAATATATTTAAAAAATTGTTAACTAATAATTTTTTATTGTATTCTTTCAATATTTTGGCAGCTTTTAATACTCCAACTGGAATGCCTTACGGTACGGTAAATTTGTTATATGGTGTGCCGAAAGGCGAGACATCCATAACGTGCACAGCAGGTGTTGGTACATTCCTCATCGAATTTGGCACCTTGACACAGCTTACTGGAGCAACTATCTTCATGGAGACCGCTTTGAGAGCACTGCAAAGTCTATGGTCATTCAGGTCTCCAATTGGACTAGTAAATTTATTTTGATTTTAACTTTTTTAGCCATTGTTAATATTGATTTAATTGTAGTTCTATCCATGGTGATTGAAAACTTTGTGATGTGTAATACAGGTTGGCAACCACATAGATGTACTGACTGGCAAGTGGACAGCTCTTGACTCAAGTATAGGAGCTGGTGTAGATTCTTACTATGAATATCTCGTCAAAGGCTCCATGCTGTTCGGCTATCCTGACCTCATGAAAATGTTTTTAGGTTTCTGACACATTTTTTATTGCCTCATCAACTGACGCAACTATCACCATCAATTAATTGAAATTACTTTAAATTATTGTACTAAAATGATTAGCAATAACATTATTATTATACGTCGATTTTTCTGACTGTAATATAACAGGTCACCTATATGTATTTTGATGTGCTGATTCTAAATTTCATATATATTTTTATCAGTCACGTCTATTTTTTGCACGAAATGATAAATATTATTCGATCTTAACATTCTAAGGTTAAAACAGACTGCTCTGGTAAAACTATAAAAAATTAACAACACAGAGAACAAATGCTCTGTATGTAATCTGCACGAACATTATATGAATCTATTAAAAGGATATTACAAAAAAATAAAATGTAACGAACATTGCTAGGTGCTATGTGAAGACCCAAAAGTTATATTCCAGCTCTTAGGACAACAAAGTGCATACACAAAGAGTCTTTGTTTTTTGTACTTATGGGACAGACGAGAAAATGCAGACTATTATAAAAAAAAGCGTGGCCAATTAGAGAAATATTTAAAATTTTTGAAAAAAAAAACATTTAGAATAAACCACTTGTCAGTCTTCAAAAAGTGTTGCTTCCACTCCTGCTTATAAATTCTGGATTCATGTCAAAGCTTTGGATCAGTGCTTCAAACATTTGTATACTTAGTTCCCTGCTCTATCTATAAATTGAAAGCTGGCGTATTTGGTGGTCCATAAATCAGGTTCCTGATCAAAGACAAAAAGTTTATTATAACTATGAAAAACATAGTAAAAACGCTTGGTCTACTTCGTGTGATGTCTTTAGAGACTTCACAAGAAACTTCAAAGCAGCAAATTATTTTCTAGTGGAGAATTGGTTGATAACTTTTCAATACTGGGAGCAAACATGAGTGTGAAATTGCATTTTTTCATAGCCACTTAAGTTACTTCCCATCAAACTTTGGAGCCATGAGTGAAGAACAAGAAGAACATTTCCCCCAAGACATCAAAATGATGGAGCGCAGATATTAAGACAGATGGAATACGAGCGTGATAGCAAACTACTGTTGGTGTGTACAGAGTGACTAGCCTAACAAAAAATATTCAAGAAAATCAAACAAGAGAAAATTTCTTCCTATTAAAAAAAAATTTTATTTTGAATTGATTGATTGATTGATTGATTGAATTTTATTTTTTTCAGTGGACAGATTCGTTTTATAAAAAAAATAAATGAATGAATGAAACTATACTTAGATTTTGTTTTTCACATTGTTTTGTTATTATTTAATCAACTTTTTGCAATTTATTACCATCCAACAATTGATTTATTATGAAAAATTTTCCATTGTACACTGATGTGAATTTGCTTGAGAACTCAGTGAAAGAATTCTCATTTTTTGTGCAAAAACTTGACATGATTTCTGATTTTAAATTTGGAATCCGCATCACTCAAATATATAAAATCCGCAAGAATACTCAAGTCATCGGAAAATGTTCTTTCATATGTGGACCTTACGTTCTACCTCGGGGGAACTGGGTCTCTGGACGCTAAACGAAGATTGATTGATTGATTGATTGATTGATTGATTGATTGATTGATTGATTGATTGATTGATTGATTGATTGATTGATTGATTGATTGATTGATTGATTGATTGATTGATTGATTGATTGATTGATTGATTGATTGATTGATTGATTGATTGATTGATTGATTGATTGATTGATTGATTGATTGATTGATTGATTTCATATGTGGACCAGTGTAATTGACTTTGATTGACGACTGTTTTAAAGAGTACAAGAGTGCCATTCAGAAGTACTTGAGGCGAGATGACTGGTACTTGTGGGCGCAGATGCAGAAGGGAAGCATCACACATCCACTCTTCCAATCTCTGGAGACATTCTGGCCAGGATTGTTGGTTAGTTGGTACTCCCTCTTTGCCGTCCTCGCTATATAATATTTATTTATGTAAGATATTTGCTGAATACTAATATAATATTATAATTTCAATTTAGCTGACGACTTTTTCAAATAAATAAATTAACTTGGATATGATAGCATAAAATAATAGCGTTCATATGGACATGTTGATAGAGCTTGACTGGCGATATCGAATCAGGCATGAAGACCTTGCACAACTACCACCAGATCATGCAGCAGTATGGCTTCACTCCAGAGATGTACAACATACAGAGCAGCGAAGTTCACAACTCCAAAGAGGGATACCCCCTCAGACCTGGTCAGTTTGTTGGTTGGGTTGACGTCATTTGACATTGCAAATGATGAATGACCACCCTCTCCCTCTGATACTCGCCTGCTTAGGCCCACACGCGCAATCAACGCTTTGTATGTATATAAGTGCTGGAATATCTCTGCATTTGAAGCCAGTCACCACAATTTAAAAAATGCGCTTTATGAGAACATGTCTTATTTAAAATAAAGTGCCATAAAATTTTCATATTTGCTCTTGATACAGACGAAATAATAGCCGATCTAATTTAAATAATTATTTTTTGGCTAGTCATAATTTTCAACGTCGCTATTTCTAAATTATTTTGCAGAGTTGGTTGAAAGTGCAATGTACTTATACAGAGCCACTAAGGATCCGTACCTCGTTGAAATTGTGATTGATGTAGTGGAGAACATTGAGAACATATGCAAGACGTCATGTGGCTATGCAACTGTTAGTTTTCTTTTCATTTTTTTTGTTTGTTTTCTAATTGAATCAAAAATTTTTTTTATAAAAATCTCTAGAGTTAACTCTAGATATATTTGGTTGGTTTAATAATTTGTGTGATATATTCTTGATGACGTTGTTGATAACGACCAATTAGAAATCATCTCCAAAGTATTCTTCTAGTTTTTGTATTTTTGTCTACATCATTGTCCAACGACACGCTTCACTTCAATAGATACTATCAATACAATTTATCATTGATAGGTCCTAAGAAAAAAACATTGTTGAGTTTTTATATTTTTTTTTCTTGACAATTCAATTTTTCGAAAGTCCATTTCATGTGTTTTGCCTGATAATCATCAAGAGAGTACGATCCGTTATAAATTGTGCAAGCTGCTCGATGAGGTCATTTCAGATTCAACTGGACGTGCACGCGTGCTTCTGATTATTATTAGTTTTCAATTTTTTTTTCTCAAAATTTTTTTACGGTTACATCTTCGCGGAACAATCTCGTGACGACGACATCATTGTTAATGCCTACAGGTAAAGAACGTGAAAACTCACCAGTTGGACAACCGAATGGAATCCTTCTTTCTGGCTGAAACACTCAAGTACCTCTATATGTTCTTTGATAGGGAGAACTTCCTCAACCAAGATGCAGCCAACTCAACTGTTATTATGACTCCAAGGGGCAAGTGTGTCATCCACACAGGTCTGCATATCTCTGCTGTTTGATTTTTGTATAATTGACCTTTAACCTTTATACGAAAATACGAAACAATTTTTCTTAACAGGAGGTTATGTTTTCAACACTGAGGCACATTTCGTGGATGCAGCCGCATTGTATTGTTGCAGCAGCAATAAGCAGCAGGACGAGGATGAGTTGAGAAGGATGATGAATCATATTGATCTCGTTGATCTACTCACTGGTGATGACGACACTGACGATGATTATTCCATCTATCTACAAAAAGCTAATTTAAAATTTGACAACGATAAAGTAAATGATAATCCCCAATCAAGTGATGGCGAAGCAAATCCATGCAACAGCACTGACGATGATTATGAAAGGAAAACTAGAATAAACGTAGTTGAGATGCCACTAGACCCAGACGGCGTTTTAGTTGCCCAGCAAGCACTAATATGTCACTCGCACATTCCTCCATTTCTGGTGAACGTGCCAATGCACCTCGTATGTAACTCTGATCGATTTTATTACGAGCTGCAAATCATCACACCACATCATCCCAGCATCACTGTTCAATCTGATTCTAGCGCAAACGTGGCCAGGCCTGGAAGCGATTGTTCTATTGATGGTAGCTCCGACAAATTTGGCTACACATCAAAGAAGATAGGCAATGAGGAAGTGAATGTTCCAACAAAGCCTTTGTATTTTGAAAACATGTTTGAACTGTTGTCGTGCTCTCCGAGATCATTCGTCGCTCGATTGTCAGTCAACGGAGAAGTCTTTGATGAGGATGAATAACATATTTAAAAAAATTGGAGACAGTTTGTTATAATTGTATATATTTTTCTCACTACCATCTAACGTAGTGCACGCGTGCGCTCTGTTTAGATGTACGTGAATTTTGTCTCCTTGAAAAGTCTTGTTCTGGTTCGGTTATTTTATAGATATTTTATCCTTTATTTTTATTTACATTAAATGGCAAATTAAAATTTTAAATAATTGTTTATTGATCATCGTGTTGAAGTTTCGTTTCGATTTAAACAGTTTTGAGCACACAACATAAATTGGATTGAAGAGAATGTTTTATCGCTCGAACAGTTTGATGATCAGAATTTCTGAGGAGTTGGGTATGTAAAAAAAACTTGAAAGATCTGAAATATAGGTGATGCGCAAATTGTTTGGTGTTTTTCTAGCCATGATATTTTAGACAAACTGAAAAAAAGTACGTATTCCTCCCACAGTCGTTTAACGAGAGTATTTTATAAGCTTTGAAGTTCGACAGTGGATTTAAGTTTATATGAATCACAAGGGTTATGCTTGATCTGTTGAATAAATGCAACAAATCTAGGAAATGGGTCCGAAATTGTCATCTTATGTTAAAGTTATTGACTGAAATAATCGTTACGAACATATATGGTGTATATTGTATATATATTTTTATTTATTAATTATTAATTTGTTAAAATTCTTTCTTTAATAATTTTAGAGACTTCAACAATAAGCAAACAGTGCAGGTAAGTGCATGTGAAACAGCGCATCTGGCACATTGCATGTCGTAGGTGGAGATCTCCTTGCTGTCGAATCCGAAGACTCCAACACCAGTGCCATGTGTGTGTGTGTCTGTGTGTGCGTGCGTGCGTGTGTGTGTATGTGAGTGTCTGCGTGTGTAACCCGTGTAAAAAAGTCATTCGTGCTCGCTATAAAAATAAATATATAACACGCAGTACACAACACACTCACTCAAGCTCTCTTAATGCATGCGTGCATATACGCTTATTATATTAATCCAACTTAAGCCTTATAGACATATTTATAATATTTTATTGTATTGTATATTTACAACATAAATCAAATAAGGTGTTTAATTTAAGCCATATGCTTGCCAAACTAACGTAGGTGAATTATATTTACTAGTACATATGCTTCATTTTAAAGTCGAGCATTTAGTGACGCGCAGTTTTAATTTTGCTACAGATGGCACGGGCTTAGCCGGGCGGTTACTTCGCACAAAGAATTTAAGTTCATTAATAAACCTTACTGCCCATTGACCGTTGGCGCCATCCAGTGCTTTTTGCGTTTTCGTGCCCGCTTGATGTTTGTGTTTTTTAATTTTTTTAAATTTTTAATCAATTATCATTTTGTTTAACATTTCAAGGATTTTCTGATTCAATTCTACTCATGGATATATATATATATATATATATATATATTCATATATACTTATGTATATATATAACAACACACGTTTAGACAACATTTTCCCCGAGATCGGGGTTGCCGTTTGGCTAACTATGATGAAACCGAAATACCCCTCGACGCCATTCACATCTGTCACTCGCCTCAGTATCACGCAACCCCGCTTTCACTCTGTCCTTCTCCACCTGCTCTCTCCATCCCAATCGCGGACGACCCCTTCCTATTACTCCTTCAACCTCGAACTCCAACGCTCGCCTAATCCCGACCCTTTCATCCCTTCTCAACACATGTCTATACCACCGCAATCTCGATCTCCCCACCTTCCCCACTCACCATTACCTTCGTCTTACCAATATTAACTTTTAACCCTTTCTTTTCGATAACACTTTTCCATCTGTCAAATCTTAACTGCAATTCTTCCATGCTATCAGCCATCAAGACTAAATCATCTGCATACAAAATCTCCAATAACAACCCCTCCATTATGTTTCCACACACAACATCCATCACAATTGCAAACAAAAACGGTGATAACACTGATCCTTGATGCACTCCTACCTTAACACTAAAAGCGTCCGACATCCCCCTTCCGACCCTCACCTTTGTCTTCGCCCCTTCATACAGCTGCATCACAGCTTTTACAAGTCTCTCATTCACTCCTTTCTTCCTCAACGCCCATTCAATGACCTTCCTCGGTACTCCTCGATCAAAAGCCTTTCCTAGATCCACAAAACACATGTACAATCTTCGTTTCTTCTTTCTATAATTCTCCAGCAACATTCTCACTATGAACAACGCATCCACCATTCCCCTACCAGGCATAAACCCACACTGCCTTTAAATGTATATATAATTATAAATAAATATTATATTATTATAATATTTAATATATATATATATATTATTAATATATAATATTATATAATATTATAATATATTAAATATAAAAATAGTTATAAATATATTTATATATATATATATATATATATATATTTATATTCATGGTTTTACCCCTTAAAATGAATGTATCGTTAAAAATGCTTATAATATTCCGGCTTATATTGATTTCATTGGTATCTACATTTAATGTAAATAACAATGACATTATTTTTATTGATATTATAGAGATAGAGCTGTTGTGGAATTACAAAAGCTTGCAATTTTTCATCCCATGGTTTTCATTAAACGCCTTATTGAAGGAGTGTCATTTTCACACCCTTTGTGACGATTACACACAATTACGATTACGCAACGCTAACTCAAGTGCTATAGTTCTATTCCTAAAGTAAAATTCAACTTACGTTTAAATAACCTTTTTAAATCGTGTATTTTATAATTGAAGTGGTCGTTGCTTACTGAAATATAACATCTTTTACTACAGCAATTGTCATTAAAGCCGTTCTTGTACACACACACGCACACACACAACCATAAAAATTCAATAGTTTTGTATTTTAAGATATTATGGATACATGATAGAGTTAATATATAATATACTGTATACACATTAATATTATAAATATATATATATATATATATATATATACATATAAACGTAAAATCACCACTATTAGCTCATCTCGTACATAATATAGATACGAAATGTGCTCTTCAAACATATACTATATATATGTATGTATATATATATGTGTGTGTGTGTTTGCTATCTATATATTTGAATGCTATAATCATGTTATTTATATACATATAATTCCTAGTATGAAACAAATCTGATGCTTCGATTGAATTTCTTCATTGAACGGATAGAGGTTTTATTTGCGTCTGAATTGGCGCGGGCTTAGTTAAGCGGTTACTTCGCATAAAAGAATTTACTGTCACTAAATACCCTTACTGCTCTGGACCGTTGGCGCCATCCCGTGCTTTTTGTGTTTTTGTGTCCGCTTATCAGTTCTGTTCCGGTATTTTTTGTTATTTCTAAAGTTTTAATTATTTTTTAATATTTTTTTAAAATTATCATTTGGTTAAATATTTTCAGATTTTCTGGTTCAATTCGTTAAAAGTTTAACGTTACTTGTATTATAACTTTACCGTCAAATAAAAAACTATAATTCAATTCCAATGTTGAAATTGCACTTATTTTATTTGTAAACTGCATTACAACATTCTCAAGTAGACATTATTTATTCACCAAAATGTTTATTTCTCAGTATCCAATTTAATAAAATTCATCTTCTGGCTATATCTGCGTACTGCAATGAAATACAATGTAATGCAATATAGAATGAATACTGCTTTTGAGTGAGTAGATGTTTTGCTGACAGTTACTTCGGCACAGGCCTAGTTAAGCGGTTACTTCGCACAAAAGAACTAACTGTCACATGGTCTCCTTACTGCCTTTAACCGCTGACGCCATCTTGTGCTTTTTGAACTTTCGCGTCCGCACGTCCTAAGGAATAATTTAGAAAAAATAATAATTAAACTTTCTTTCTATTGTACTTGTTTCTAGCATTTTGTAAATTTTCAATTAAATCATCTATCATTCATGCCATTTTCATAGATTTCCTGATGTTTTTCTGTACACTTAAGTAAGATGTTTCATTTTTACAGATGCCTGAAAATTTTAACAAAATACTAAATTTTACTTTCACATAAACAAATAATGCACATACATGTAACAAAAATGTACACCTTTACATACTGAATAATAATGTTCCTATGAGCCCAAATAATGCCTTGGTTTCGAACGCGATACCAACATATACATGCATGAATCATATTGTTGCGCAAATATATGAGAAGCATAAAAAATGTTAACGATTTGCCATTAATTGTTATGTTCCAAGTGGAAATGATGTTTATTAGCCACTTGTTAAATAATTAAATTAATATTTTTAAAATATTAATAAATTTCAGCTCATTTTTAAATTCATTTCATCAATTTGACTAATCATTTCACTGTTTTCAACTATTATGCTCATTTTTTAATCATTCATCAAGAAAGCATGCAAATAAAACGTCTGCTTTAATAAATTTTCTTTGAATTTTATGTTTTATTAAAACAATTTTATGTTATGTTACGTTATATTATTTTTATGGTTGTTTGTTATTGTTATTAATACGTTATGTTAGGATATGTTGCTTTGTTGTTATATGTCTTAAATTTCAAAATCAACATCCGATTAATCACAGTTTTCAGCCGAATAAAAAATGACAAGACATCTCAACTAAGCAAAAACTATAATTTAAAATTATTGCGGTGCCGCTGATATGCTGCGGAAAAATATAGATAAAAGTTTAAAAAAATGAAATAATAGAATGAAACAGTGCGTATAAATAATATATGATTCGTTGAAACAATGTTCCTAGCTTTTTAAATGCATTTTTCGATTTTGGGAAACAATGAAACATTTTTATGTCTGGTGTTTAAAAAAGCGTTGCATATTTAATTTCTGAAAATTTATGAACTATATTGAAATATAACAATAATTTGTAATTCACGAAATAATCAATCATTTCTATATAAAATTAAAGTTTAACATGACGTGTGATGAAAAGTACAAACTTCATTTATATGCCAATCCTATGTATAAAAGTATGAAGTGAATCCAAAATAATTGCTCAAACAATCATGTTACTCTTCAAAAATATTTGTTATTCTTTAATTGTTTTGATATGCCGTAATTTTGATAAAATCATCTGTAAGTACAATTCGGAGCGTTTATACCGTAAAGATGACAATCTTCCTTTTACCTGTTTTGGTGACGCACCAAGTGCAACCCATGAGAATGTGTCTCTGGCAAGGTGCAGTCTTGCTTGCAACAATTTGAAGAATTGCTTAGTTTTCCAGTACTACGAAACGAATAAATGTGATTTGTTTGTAACGTGGAGTATTTGGATCAAGCAATCTGTTGGAGGATGCTCATTGTACACCAGGGCAGGTCGTTTCTTTTAAAAATGTTTAAAAAATCTGTTATAATCCATATTGAAAAATAATTTTTTCAGGGTTATGCCCTCCTTCGTTTGTTTACTTTCCTTTGTCAAACTCTTGCTACAAATTGGAGGTTGGATCGTGGAACTGGGAGCAGGCGAGGAGCTGGTGCAACCATCTGTCACCACCATATACATTTCCTGCTATTATTAACACAACGAAAAAGAACGATGCCGTGACGTTTTATTTGAATTCGATAAAAGGTTGTTATAATTATATTTTGTTTCTATGTAAACATCCCAGAAAGAAAATTTAAATTTGTCTTTGTGTCTTTTTTTTAGATTCAAACAACATTGATTGTTATAATTCTGATTACTTCTCACGAAAAATGTGGATTGGCGGGCAAAGAATAGATCCGGCAAATGTTTTGACAATTTTTGTTTGGAAGCCGTTTCCTAATGTTGCACTAAGCCTGGGGAATGAAACATTTTGGTTTCCAACCCAACCGGATGCGTTTTTGGGATCGCTTTTTCTAGAATCATGCATGACGTTCTGGCATGATAACTTCAATTGGAATGACCTATCGTGCTATTATGCCAAATGCGTGCTATGTGAAGCTACACCAATACTCAATTGAATATTGTAGCTTAAATTTGAAATATTTATTTACATCTGACGTTTTTAACATTAACCTGACAATTTTTTAAATCATTTTAACTAATTTAAAAAAATATTGAAAACATCAAGGATGCTATAAACGTTTGATGCTATAATTGCTGAAGAGTTTTTTTCAATTAATAAAAGTTAAATATTCATTTCATAACTACATAAAAACGTGATGCTGTAAAAATCTCTACTTGCCGTCTACAGCAGAAAATTTAATGAAAGTTGCCCAACTGAGATCCTATCAACTGTTTTTCGAGCATTCATTCAATAGTCTATATTTTTTTATTCTTTAAAATGACAAAATTTCTAGAGGAGACGCAGAACTGAAACAAATAAAAATGTGATAGATGAGAAGAAATTGCAAGCTAAAATGAGATGAAAGTCGAGTTACTCTTAAAAATGAAATGTTGAAGATTTTTTGGTTTCTGAAAGAAAATAACTTATTTGTATTTTGACATCTTGAATCTTCTAGCCTAAAAAATACCCGCACCTAATTGTATTGTTAATTTTTGAAATTAAAAAATTTGAACTAGACTTAGTAGCCTGAAACTGATAATTTTGATGTCATTATAGTAAAATACATTCAATACATTTATTGTCTGTATTGATTTCAATAAGCAATTTAGATATTTGTTGTGTGTAAGAAAATTTTGAAGGTGACAACGAAGATAATGATTATAATTATGTTCACATATGTAGAATAAAATTATGTAAAAATTACCAGGTTAACAAAGTTTCTGGCATATAATTATTTTAAATATTTTTAATACAAATATTGCTGAATCTGTTTTTCCAAAAACAAAAACCAATTATTTTTATTATAAATTTACCAATTTTTAGATCTAACAAGGTTTTTCTACTTTTTCACTTCTCTGTGAGTTTTATTTACCAAGATTACAAATTTTGTGAAACTTTTCAAACTCAAAGCATTTTTAAAATTTATTTTCAACTTTTTTAAGACTGTTCTTTTTTTACTTTCATTAATTTTCTTTTACCTGAAATTCGCTTTATTCACAATTACCACAATAACAATAGAAATAATTTTAATAATTATAATGAAGATAATAACAACAGCAACAACAGTAAGACAGTAGAAATTAGACAGGATATGATCATTATCATAAAATTTGTGAAAGGAGAAAGTTAAAAATTATTAATGTTTGTTCAGATCCGTGACGACTTAACCGATGTCGTAAATATTTAGCTATAGAATTTTTTAAATAATTTGCAATTTAATTAACAGAAAACATTGAGGAAGAGTTAATTAATTAATTAATTTACAGATGAATGAATGAATGAATGAATGAATGAGTGAGTTAGTGAATGAGTGGGTGAGTGAGTGAGTGGGTGAGTGAGTGAGTGAGTGAGTGAGTGAGTGAGTGAGTGAGTGAGTGAGTGAGTGAGTGAGTGAGTGAGTGAGTGAGTGAGTGAGTGAGTGAGTGAGTGAGTGGGTGGATGAATGAGTGAGTTGGTGAGTAAGTGAACAGTGAATAAATAAATGAATTAATAAAATAAATTAATGAATGAATAAATTAAATAAATTGAGTCAGCCAGCCAGCTATCCAGTCAGCCAGCCAGCCAGCCAACCAGCCAGTCAGTCAGTCAGTCAGTCAGTCAGTCAGTCAGTCAGTCAGTCAGTCAGTCAGTCAGTCAGTCAGTCAGTCAGTCAGTCAGTCAGTCAGTCAGTCAGTCAGTCAGTCAGTCAGTCAGTCAGTCAGTCAGTCAGTCAGTCAGTCAGTCAGTCAGTCAGTCAGTCAGTCAGTCAATCAGTCAGTCAGTCAGTCAGTCAGTCACACACAAAAACACAAACACACGCTCATTTGAAATTACAACTATAAAATAATACACAAAAACAGACAAAAAATAAATAAATCGATAAACAAGTAAATAATTGGGTGAAAAAATACAAGCAATTTAAAAAAATAAATATACAATTATAAATGAATATCCGTGTATGTATACAGTAGGGCGTATGCAAGCATTTTCTCAAGCATCACTTCACATTGCTAATTAAATAATTTTTATTCTGAATGTCAGAGCCCTGTGACGATTTTAAATGCGTTGCCAGCGGATTATTAGACACATGTATCTAATAAGTTGCCAGCAACTTATTAGATACATGTTAGATAGAATGCATCTAATGTATTGAATAAACATTGCACATATGTAGATGTTTAAACGATATCAATTTTTTCTCCTTTGACTTTCGGAGACAATAAACATGCGTTAGACAGTCTTTCTAACATTTTACTTTTCAGAATTAAAAAAAATTAACATTATATTGAATGAATTTTAAAGAAATATGTTTATTACTAACTATTAAAACTATTATTACTAACTATATTATATAACTATTATGTTTATTTCAACAATCTTTCAAGTATATTGCCTTACGATGGCAGTTTATATAATTCGAAGAATGCGCTGGGATTTTGTTGTTGGAAGTTTGTACAGGAGGGATGTTAAATTGCCCTTCACTTGTTTTGCTGATGCATCAAACAAAACATTTGCAAACATATCCCTGCCACAGTGCAGTCTTGCTTGTGACCGCTACAATGGTTGCCTGGCTTTCCAGTACTACGAGTCAAGTAGGTGTGATCTGTTTGAAACGTGGAGTACCTGGATCAAGCAATCTCTTGGATGCTCATTGTACATCAGAGCAGGTTTCAGATAAAAATATTTACAAACATATTTACATTTAGGTATTTCAAACAAATTTAATAAAAATATTTTTCAGAATTATGTCCTCCTTCGTTTGTTTACTTTTTTTCATCAAAATCCTGCTACAAATTGGAGGTTGGATCATGGAATTGGGAGCAGGCAAGGAGCTGGTGCAACCAATTGTCACCACCAAATACGTTTCCTGTTGTTATCAATACAACGAAAAAGAACGATGATATAATATTTTATTTAAACTCAATACAAGGTTGTTAAAATTGTCAAGTATTGATATTTTTAAGATAATTAATTTTGTCATTTTTGATTCCAACAACAATGGTTGTTACGACACTGATTTTTACTCTAGAAAAATATGGCTAAGTGGACAGAAAGTTGATCCTCTAAATATATCGACACCATTTGTATGGAAACCATTTCCAAATGTTTCACTGAGTTTGGGCAATAAAACATTTTGGTATCCAGACCAACCCAATGCTTTTGGGTATCCTGGAATCTAGAATCATGCATATCATTTTGGTCTGGACTCTACACGTGGAATGACCAGGCGTGTGATTATCTCAAATGTGTACTCTGTGAAGCTACGCCAGAGTTTATGTAAAAGTTTCAGCTATTTCTTATTAAATTTTCTAATGTTAGTAAATAAATGTTTTTTTAATTATAAAGGACAACAATCCTTTTTTTAAATTTTTATAATTCAAATTGAACATGAACAGGCTAAAAATGTTGTTAAATTTAAAGATTCTTAGGTATTGTTTTTTCATTACATTTTTCGCAGATAAATTAATTTTTTCCTGATGTGCATATTAAATTGGTTGAAATGTAAACTTGTATAAGTTAAATTATAATATGGTAATTTTTAAACAAATTGTTCTGAAATAATCTTTAATTTGTAATAAAAAAATCCCAATCATTGAAAAACAATTTAAGTTTGGTCTCTGGCAGCAGCATTTAACTAGTTTGGAAATTTTTTAATTGCTGCTAAAAGGTACGCATAATTTTTGCCGAAATTGCTTGTTTTGAAATCAGTTAAATCGTAAAATTCTATACATTTAAAATCATAATCCTCAGCGGTGGATCTAGGCAATATGCACGGGTGGTTAGAAACTATCCAAATGTGGCTAAAATTAGACTGGTGACCTTTTTCATCCAGCTCTTCTAGATCCGAGGTAGGTAAAACATTTATACTTTTTTTCCAATTTGCGACCAGGAACGGCAAGACGGTTCCGAGGAATTGAACTACCTCGTATTATTAATAACTTTTCTTTCTCTAGTCAACTATATGCTGATGATTCTTACATTTATACTTCTTTTCCTCCATCTAATCTCAATAGTGTTCTTCATAATTTATCTCTATGTCTTTCTTCAATTATTGCTTGGTCTGACTCTATTTGTCTTAAACTTAATTCTTCTAAGTTTGAATTAATTTGTTTTAATAAATCTAAACACTCTATTACTATTCCAACTATTATCTTACCAAATTTTTATAAACCATTTTTGTCTAGACCACCAAGTTTTTTGTATGGAAATGAAATTATGTTATAGTAGATTTTTTAATAATGCAATGCCCGTCATAGAAAAATGCTTGAGCTGTAGTACTGAAATTATTACAGAAGATTGCATTGCTTTTGCATCTTAAGTTCAGTAACTCTGCAATACACTGGAAGTTTGCTGGCGGATTTCCAATTTGAAACTATAGAGATTATAATATTCTATAAATTTTACCGAATGTTTGGCGTTAATATGTTTGTAGTTCCTTTTTTCGATTTTTCTCACTAAAGTTTTTTGTTTTTCTCAAATATCTACGCCAGATACGTGGATGATATCTTTGTCTTCTATAACGATCCTGAACAAATCACCCAACTACTTGGTACCTTAAACAAATCAAAACTTAGATTTACCATTGAAAGTGAAAAGGAACAACGTTTACCTTTCCTCGATGTGTTGGTCACCCGTGGCGAAGAACGATTCAAAACCGCGGTCTATGTCAAAGAAACGAATACAGGAATTTGTTTGAATGGACAAAGTGAATGCACTGAACAATTTAAAGACAGCACAATAAAATCATTTGTGAACCGGCATTCACACACTCTTCCGATATTGAAAATCGCGACGCTGAATTAAAGAGACTTACTCTATTGAAAAGATTGTTAAAAACAAATTACTACACATCAATAACCTTCCTAGCACCAAAAATCAAGATAACGACATCATCTTGTATTACAGAAACCACATGTCAAAAATAGATGAAGCTATTCTTAAGCATATCATCAATAAAAATGTCACACCAACCAACCCAAATAGTAAAGTTAAACTCCGAATTTATTACAACAATAAAAAGACGTCTCACCTAATACTGAAAAACAACTGCAGTCCTAGAGATAACTCTGAGTTAAAGCGTAACCACGTAATATATGAATTTAATTGTCCCTTTGACGGCTGTGCACGTCAACATGACTCATATATCGGGATTACTACTACCTCACTGACTAGAAGGCTTACGATGCATAAACAGAGTGGTGCTATCAAATCTCATTTGGACTCAACACACTCAATCACAATTAGCCGTGAAATCCTCGACAGCAACACCAAAGTAATATACCAGAACAGCAACTACACGCATCTTAAAATTGCAGAAGCAGTCCTAATCGACATCGATAAACCAAAAATAAATATACAACAAAAAATGACAACCTCACTTCCAACCCGGCGCTTAACCAACAACGAAAACAAAGAAGTAATAAAAACTAGCATCGTAAATAGTGACAAAGAAGAATATGATGCTAAGAAAAGGAGACCAAAGAAGATGACCAGCCAATTAAGAAACCTGACACCTAATTCGCATCAAAGTTCAATTTTACAACACCAAAGTTAATTTTTACAACGTCAAAGTTAATCTTGACAAAGTCAATATTTCCCTATATATACAACAAGGAGCACTGACGATGATTCATTCGGAATCGAAATATGGCCTTATTTGCAGCATGAATTCGAAAAATAAGTTTATTGAGAAAACTTTAGTGAGAAAAATCGAAAAAACGAACTACAAACATATTAACGCCAAACATTCGGTAGAATTTATAGAATATTGTAAAAATTATGGTCTATTACCAACATATATATATATATATATATATATATATATATATATATATATATATATAAATATATATATATATATATACACTAAACACACAATATTTTAACAAATGATATACATATTTATTATATATTTTTAGTTTGTTTTCCGCACCTCTCATATTTGTTCTAATTACTTGAAGAAAAGTCAAAAAATATGGTAATAAATTTAGTGTATATTCGTTATAATATTGAATGTTTTACATTATAAAAAAAAGTCTTGTTCAAACTTGCAAAAGCGCTGTTCGACTGAACGTTACTAAAAACATCATCATTATATCGACAGAAGCCTTATGAGTTTTTAATATAGTGGAATCGTGATGTGCAACATTGACTGCCCTTTCATGAGTTTCATTAGTTGCCTATCCATTATCCAAAAAATGAGAATGATTAATACCAAATGGTCGATAGTAATAAGCGTAAGAATTGTACGTTGTATTTGCTATAAAATATACAACTTCTTCAGATATATTTTTAAATGTAAAAATGATTCTCTTTAAAAACCTTCCCTTGATATTATCTTTGGTAGTGGTTTACATGGTCAGCAAAATAAGCTGCAATATTTTCATAGAAAGTTTATACAGAAAAGATGATAGCCTGCCATTCAAGTGTTTCGGTGACGCCCCAAGTGAGAGTTATGAGAAGGTGTCTTTGGCAACGTGCAGTCTTGCTTGTAACAAATTAAAAGATTGTTTGGCTTTCCAGTTCTACGAAACAAGAAAATGTGATCTGTTTGTAAAGTGGAGTATTTGGATTAAGCAATCTGTTGAAGGATGCTCATTGTTCATCAGAGCAGGTCGTTCAATTCATTTATTCGATTTTATTTCACGTTGATTGAAACATTTTTCAGAGTTATGTCCTCTTTCATTTGCTTACATTCCTTCATCAAAAACCTGCTATAAATTGGAGGTTGGATCTTGGAATTGGGAGCAGGCAAGGAGCTGGTGCAATCGTCTGTCACCACCAAATACGTTTCCTGCTGTTATCAACACCCTTAAAAAGATCAACGCAGTGGATTTTTTCTTGAATTCAGTGATCGGTATTTATTTATCTGTTCTTAACTTTATAAATGAAAAAATCTGGTTGTAGCTACTATTATTTGCAGATTCCTATAACATCCAATGTTATAACGACGATTACTACGCTCGTAAAATTTGGTTCGGTGGACAAAGGGAAAACCCATTTGATGTTCAAACATCTTTTTACTTGAAGCCCTTTGTAAATGTGTCATTGAGTTTGGGCAATGAAACGAACTGGCAATCATTCCAACCGGACGGCTCATCTATGTATCCAAAATTGGAATCTTGTATTGCCTTCGCTACAAACACCTATCAATGGAATGATCTCGAATGCTTCCATTTGAAATGTGCCCTTTGTGAAGCTACATCAGGAGTTAATTGAATTTTGCAACTGAAAATTCATTGAACGCTACTTTAAAAACTTTGAAACTTTTAAAAAACATATATTTTTACTATTTTCACAGTAGAATATTTTTTCCATTTCAAATTAGAATATTTTGCACTAATAATTTTTTCCAATAAATATTTAAATCGTTTCCAACACTTTTATCAGATTTGTTTTTAGTTTAAATGAAAAGTATTAATAATTGGTCGACTAAGCAAACTAAGTTTAACTTTAAGAATAGGATTTGATTGCGTTCCCAATGATTTGGGCACAGAGTTTGTTCTTGCTCGGTGAACTCATGGTCCCACTAACCGGTAACCCGAATAATCGACAGTTCGATCAAAAGTTGGCTGGATTAACCTTCTATTTTTATGCAAATAAAAAAATATTGTTAAAGTATAACTTTTTTGTTAATCAAAGCATATTTTCTGTATGACTTGATGTTTCAAATACTTTTTGTAATTTTTTCAGAACTTTGGTTTAAACTTTGATTTTTGTGTGAACAGATTTAAAAACAAAAACACTCTTTTAAAAAAGTAAATTGTTTTACCTGGTGAATGAAAATGTTATTGGCATCTAGCGAGTTGTTCGTTCTGATATGAAGTCCTGATAACTTCAACAGCTGGATTTAAATAATTCATACAATGTTGTTAATTGTATATATTTATACAATATATAAAATTATTACTATATGTATATATTATATATATATATATATATATATATATATATATATATATATATATATATATATATATATATATATCATGTTCTGTGTGTGTGGCGTGCGTGCGTGTGTATGTTTGAAGTCTTGTATATTTACGGTTCATACGTCTAAAAATACAACTTAATTCATCAGCTTGTAGCCTTCTATACAGCTTAACTTTCAAACGTACACACACATACACACACACACACCCCACACACACCACACACACACACACACACACTATAAATAATAGATGAACAATAATTAATTGTGGAACAGTTTTAAAATTTAAAATTTTATTATTCTTTTGTTTATTTAAACTGTTATATTTGCTTTCTGTTGCGGGCTAATGTTTACAAATTCTGAGTATTTTTTTAAATAATTTTATAAATGACAATAAAATTTATAAAATAATGACAACACTAATAAAAGAAAAAATTGTAAGGTGATAATAAAAATAATAAAATAATAATAGTACCAGTTATAATATGCGATATAGTGCACACGACAAATGAAGCATTATAATTAAATGCTTTAGTTTCTATATGCTTTATATATGTATGTAAATGAATTAATAGTTATTAAAATGCGAAATTCTCTATGTAGGACGAAGATGACGTAACTCTTTAGCTATGTCATGTCACCACATATCTTTTTTTTTCTAAAGGTTTGCTGGTTTGCATATATTAATAATTTTTTTTTCTCAAAAAAGAGGGGTAAACTAAAAATGCTTGTATGAAAGTCACCCTATCCAAATGAAATTAAAATTGATCAACATAAATTAAAGATTAAAGTAGTTCAACAAAAATCAATAATTAAATTAGTTCGAAATAAAAGATACATGGGGAGTATATTCTTTAGTTATTACGATTGTTTCTATTATTGTTAATAATATTTAATGTAAAATAATCAAAACCTAACTATTAAACACGGATAACCAATAAAGATAATAAAAATTCAATAAGTACATATAATTAATAACATTATTTAAATCCAGTAAATTCAAATAATATCAGATAGAATACTAAAGTCAAAAGAAATTATACATAGATCCATTCATACAATACACGCATTCAATTATTCACACATACTCACACACATGCATGCACATAACACATAGGGTACATAGAAATAAACAACTAGTTTTATATAGTCGATAATAACAAACACTTCCTAATTCAAGAAAATAGTATTTTTTTGAATCAGGTAGCGTTTAATTTTAGATTTAAACAAATGCAAGTGACTGAGAGCTTTAATCTCAAGTGGAATCACCGTGTCCCAGACCTTTGGTCCTATTAGTTTCAAACTTGTATTTATTAATTTTATTCGGGCTGGATTTGAATATAAAGTTGGATTGTGTCTTAGAGGCTTACTATGAATGGTATTTATTAGAGTAAAAAAATCTTTATAAGAAGGTGGAATTAATTCATGTAAGTATTTAAACATGAAAATTTAGACAAAGTATACATGGATGTTGTTTATATTTAAAATTTTCAAAACAGGGTTATATTTTGAAACAGAGCAAAACGGATGGAGATTTAGTAACAATCGAATGAAACGGTTTTGACACCGTTTGACCTGATTCAAGTGCACAGCAGAACAATTACCCCAAAGTAAGTTACAATAAACGAGATGAGGATAAATGAGTGTGTTGTCGGATTGAAAATCCTAGCGACTAAAAAAGACTAATAAAAAATAAAACACCACGAACTAAGGAGGTGATTTGTGCGAACTTTATAAGAAACTGCGATAACTATTCTGATAGGTATTCGGGCTGCTGATGAGTCCCCGGTAGGGACGAAACACCTGTCCAGTCTATCCAAACGAATACTATTCTTTTCTTCTCCTGCTCACTGCTCTTCTGGTTTGGTGTTCATCATCATCAAACGCAATCGCAACAGTGTTATACAGTTCCAAAAGTATATTTCTATTTAGTTTATGTTTGATCTTGTGTAGTATACCTATTAATTTGTTAAATTTGTCAGAAATAAAATTAATATGGTTGTCCCAGAAAAGATTATCTTTAACTAAGACTCCAAGAAACCTAATTGAATCAGATCGGGCAATATTGCTAGTGTTAATATTAATATTCAAGTCAGGCAAAGAATTTGTTAAAATTCTCGGATCAAATATTAAATAACTGCATTTGGAATAGTTGATTTTAAGCTTATTTAAGGTAAACTAGTTAACTATTTTTTCAAGTTCACCATTTATTATAGACAAATCATTTGCAGGATTCTTGGTGTGGAAAAGAATAGTGGTGTCATACGCATAAAAAAAAATTTGGCTATTTCAGAGGCATGACACAAATCGTTAAATAAATAGTGTAAAGAGAAGAGGTCCTAGAATGGAACCTTGAGGAACTCCAAAACTGATATTAAGAGTCTTTGAACAGTGATCACCAATATTAACAAATTGTTTCCTATTCTTAAGATATGAGCAAAACCACAAATGTATTAGACCTCTAACACCATAGGAATACAGTTTGGCAAGAAGGATGTCATGGTCAATCATATCAAACGCTTTTGACAAACCTATAAAAACGCCAACCGTCAAAATACCTTCATTTAATTTATTCAACACTGTGGGCTAGATGCAACACAGCTAATTCAGTTGAAAAATTAGGTCTGAAACCAAATTGGTAGTCGCTAATAATATTATTAGCATTCAGAAAAGAAGATAGTCTACAAAACATTAGTTTTTCTAAAATTTTGGAAAGTGGAGAGAGTAGTGAAATGGGCCTATAATTATTAATGTCTTCTCTACTACTCTTTTTGAAAATGGAAATTATCTTAGATTTTTTAAAACATTCAGGGAAGATGCCTTGCGAGAAAGAGAGATTGCAAATATGGGTGAAAGGGACTAAAACTTCGTTGATGATTTGTTTAATTAGAAAATTACTTAGTGTGTCTGTTGAGGTGCTTTTACTATTTTTTAAATTGTAGCTATTTTTAAAACCTCTGATTCATTAGTTAACTTTAAAAACATAGACTGATTATTTGATTTTAGAAATTTAGATGAAAATTGTGTTGAGATGGTATGACTGTTTGATTTTACTATATTAGTGAAATGAGTGTTCAGAGCATTACATATCTCTCCAGTATCTTCAATCGTTACATTGTTAATATTGAGACTATTGATAAATAAAGAAGAAGTGTTCTTGTTTAAAATTTTATTTATCAGTACCCATTTTTGTCTAGCGTCTGATTTAGCTGCAGAAAATTGTTGTTTGAAAAAATTATTTTCAGTCTTCCTTTTATATGAAGTGAAATTATTTCTGAAATGTTTATATTTCAAATAGTTATGGACCGTAGGATTAAGCCGATAGAGTTTAAACAACTTGTTTTGTTTATTAGACATTTTGATAATACCATGGGTTATCCATGATTTTATACCTATTGTTTTGTTCTTAGAAAAAGGAGCAAAACTATTCAAAGCACTATTAATTATACTGTAAAAAATTGAGCAAGCACTGTCAACACTAGCTTCATTCCAGACAGTTGACCAATCAACATATCTCAGAAAAAGTTTAATTAATCTTATATTATGTTTAGTGAGTCTGAGCACAAGTGAGGTGCATTCTAGCATTGACTTTAGCCTATGTTTATGAGATAAAGAGAAAATAGAAAAATGGTCAGAAAAATCGGACACAATGATTCCACTTTCTGCATAGTCTGGCGCGTTAGAAAAAATATTACCTATAAGAGTAGATGATGAAGTGGAGGTAACCCGAGTAGGAAAAAGTATCAAAGGACTGAAGCCATATGACAGAAGCAAATTTTGAAAATTTTTATTATGAATGAATACAAATCATTTTATTTTTAAAGGTTTGCTGGTTTGCATATATTAGTAATTAGTATTATATAACTATTTATATGTATAACTATTAAGGTGATTGTTGTTATGCTAGACCAGACAATCAAGCATTTAAATAATATTTCTTGCATATATTGTGTTTGAATAGTTGCTTACTTTAAAACTGGCATACTAGCATATTACATGTTGATGTTTTTAGTATTGGAATATTTCGAAAAAGTTTCAATGTTAATTTCTTTTCTCCATGGTATCCAGTTCAGAAAGAATTTATTTTTGCGGTTTATCTCAGGTAATTAGCGAAGAAATAAAAATTCGGATTCTGTAAATGAAGACAACAACAACATTCATCAGAACAACAACAACAATAACATCAAAATCAACATCAGCCACTTTTGCAACAACGGAGACAATATCTTCAAATATGGATCAATGAAGGTGCTGCTCCTAATTACACTACCTACGAATGAACTTTATAGTTTTTAAACTACTCCCAAAGCCTTCAGTATTAATGTAATTATGTTGTTTTCAGTATTTTTTAACAGGAAATAACAACAAAGACATCAACAACGACATATGTGTATAAACGCTAATCTTTACAAACAGAGCCAAAGTAAACACTAGCAACATAACTATAACATTAACAACAACATCACCAGTTCGAACAAGATTGAAAGTGACAACGCAACAACAACAAAAACCACAAAAATGGTGCTACAAATTTCAAATCTCAAATTCACGTGCTTACGTTCAATTTTTTACGCTCAGCTGATCATGCTGATGATGATATTTGCAGGGCAATCTGAGGGTCAAGCTAATCAAACTGAACGTAAGTTATGATGGCAAAGATGTTGATGACGAGGAGATGATGTTGATGATGAAGATGATGCTGATGATGAGGATGGTGTGGATGATGAAGACGATGTTGATGACGAGAATGCTGATAATGATAAGATTAAGATGCTGAAGATTTTGGTGTCCAATATCATAATAATGAAATCATTGAGTGATTTTATATCAACTGAAGATATGTTATTACTAAAATCACTGGCACATTTTGCTACAACTACTTTCAGTGTTGTGACTAGCACAACAACAACAACCGCCTATTACCTTAACAAGAGATTATTGCCGAAACAGATTATATATTTGTCGCTTGAGTTGATGGTGTTGATCCATTTTGTAGTGATACAAATTTGCACCAACACGAATACAAACATGTACACACAGAACACACCACACACACGTACATACACATACAGATCACACACACACCACACACACGTAAATACACACACATACCACGCACACACATACCACACAAACACACACACACATACACACACTCGTGTTGATCAGTTGTGCAAACGATTTTGGTGACTTTCCTGCCAACATGTTCAAAGCCACAGTTTCTCACAGTTTTTGACCTAATTCTTGTTATAGTTTTTTTTCCTTCTACAAATCTTTTTATTTTTAACTCTAACCTCTTCCAATACTTTGTAGGATATTCATTTTTATCAAAATGTAAATTTCTGTTATCCTTATTCACTTCCACAAAATCTCCGCACTTTTCCTTACTGTACAAACAACAAACATAACATCACAAGCATTGAGTTCAACTTTTCTTTTCAATGCTGATAAGTTCGAGACATTTACTAGTCGGAAGACGTTAGCAGTTGTTAAAATGTTCTATACTTTAAAAATTATTGCATAATCTATAATTATAACTACTAATTTTACATTACATAAATATATTTGTGTTAACGTTTGACAAACATTAGACTTCTGATTACCAAACTTAAGACATTCTCAATATAATACTTTTGCGCTGTACAACACATTGGGCACATGATTTTTGGTTGTGTTGTTGACACTCCTTAGTAGACTGGATGGCCGCAATCCTCTTTTCTATAACGTTTTTTGTTTTTAAAAACTACATACATAAGAAAAATATTGTCCGACCCATTTCCTTCTCCATTTTTTTAATTTCTAACTATATACTTTAAAATTTGCTGTCTTAACAATGAAAATCAAAGCAAAACCTCCGACATACTGTACGAACTTACATATCGTCATGAACAGACCAGTTCAATTTGTGGATCTTCTGCTAACTTATCAATCATTCTTATTTCAACTTTCATTTAACGAGACCCCGGTCTGTTAGGCTGCTCCAAATATTTGGAATGATTTACCTTTGAGGTGAAACAATTTCTTATTATTGTTTGTTCTCACAAAAGGCAAGAGTCACTTTTTTCAACTTGTTACGGTTGGTTCCAGTCGCTTTAGAAGCAGCGGTGCGTGTGGTGCTTTACATCTGCTCATATCAATATTGTTTCAATTACATTATCGTTTTTATTAAGATAATTATTATAATCCTTAATATTAATGTTAATATTACTAGTAGTATTATTTTTATAGCGGGAAGCGACAGGTGGAAGTAAGCCATTTTATTGAGTTGATATATTGTTAGATTTGAGACTTTGTCAGTGAAACTTGATGTGTGTTTTGTATTCAGTCGTGTTCTGGCGAGGGGCACTGGACTGGATAACGTACAACCTTTGTAATTGGAAAGTATCTTGCGAAACAAGGTGAAAAAGAAGCAAATTTGTTTTGTAAAAAGAGTTCACTGTACAAACAAAGGAATACTTTTTTTGATTTGTATTGATGTTTTATTAATATGATGTTGAAGTCAAAACATCGATCGCTATGACATTAAAGCCAATATTATGACGATAATGATGGTGATTAATAAGTGCATTTTCATTGCGCTAGTCATTATGCATGCTGAAAACATGAGTTTGTTCATACTCTATAATTTCAGCTGTCAGCGTTGGCTTTCTAATCATTCATGTCACGACTGAGCGTGTAGATAGTTCAACACCTCACATCACCTACACAAACACAAACACACACCACGAACACATACTCACAGACACAGACACACACACACACATATATATATATATATTTTTACAATATTCTTTTTACAAAAAAATTATGGTCTATAATATATATATATATTTTTTTGACGTTTGACATTTTTAACATTTTTTATTTCATCAAATCAAAACAAAGAAATGATATCAATGAAAAGAAATGATCTGGAAATTGAAAAGAAAATATGGTTTTCTTGTAATGATTATCAGTGACAATTTAAAATATGAAAGCATACTTTAAATATTTTGGTGCCTGTAAACTCACATTCATATTACAAATCCTAAAAAAACCAAAAATGGAATCAAAATTATTAAGTAATCTTTTACATTTTTATCAGAATGTCGTTTGTAATTATTGAAACACAAATATATATATAATCATACTTTAAACTAAATAAATAGACTAACAAATTGATAAATAATTGGAAATGATAACGAGTATTGATTAAATGACAATTATTTTAAAACATACAGAATTAGCTAATCTCGATAACGCACACCATATCAGCATTATGGGATCTTCAAAGCCGTTAAATGGGAACAAACAAATTTATTTGTAAATTTAAAACAAGGAGATGAAAATGATTTAAATTTTTTGGGTTCTTTCATACAGCTCGAAGTTGAACATCAAATTAACATTTCTACAATTGCGCCACTATAAATGCATTAATATAAAATTGTTAATTAGTTCTCAAGCGCTTCAATACCTTTTTATTTAATTTTAATTTCTATTTAAAAATTATTAAATAAAACTTATCCACCTTCCAAAATTAGCGCAATGCAACGTTCCAAATTGTCAGAATTGTCAGTCTCCAAACAGATGCTCTCAATGTAACAGTGGTTACAACTTGGATGGTAATGGAAACTGCGTTCGTGAGTATAAACTTATTTTAAATCTATGAAACAAAATATTTTTTTTTGAAACTACAAGAAACATTTGAGTAAGAAGGCATTAGAATAATAGAACATCTCATCAAAAATGCCTTTTGAATTTTATTAAGTGTGGTATTTGAATTTTTAAATTTCTAACTTTAACTTTTTCAGTTCAATGCAACGTTGGCAATTGTTTCGCTTGCAGCACGCCGAACGTGTGTGCGGTTTGCAACAATGGATACACTTTGAACGTCGCTAACAACAGATGCGATGGTTGGGCATTTTTACTGTTAATTTTAATAAAATACTGTTATGTATGTATTTCCTTTCGTGAAAAAAAATTCAAACATTTTAAGAAAAGTAGAAAATAAAAACTGTTAGTATTCACATCCCATTTTGTTAAACAAAATAATTCCTCATTTCAAGAAAAAAAACGTTAAATATTTACAACTTATCCAGTGCAGTGCAACGTTCCAAACTGTCAAACCTGTCAGTCACCCAACAGATGTTCCCAATGTAACAGTGGCTACAACTTGGATAGCAATGGAAATTGCATTCGTGAGTAAAAATGTTCTCTTTGATACATTTTAGAGCAACGTCGGCAAGCAAACAATGAATCTTAAAATCTGAATAACATTTACTATCGCATCATTGCACTGCTCAAACAATTGATTTTTTTTATTTTTATACGCAACTTGTAGCAATTTCTTTCTTTCAAATTTTCTAGAAGATTTTTATTTTTTGAACGATTTAAATGCTTTCCAGCGCAATGCAACGTTCAGTTCTGCCAGCAATGCCAAGCACCGAACAGATGTTCCGTCTGTAACAGTGGCTACTTTCTGGATAGTAATGCAAACTGCATACGTATGTACAAAGATTCAAAGTTGACATTATAATTTTAGATTAATTGAATCACTAATGCTTATTTTAATTGACTGCCATTTTTTCTATTTTTCGTTTTTTTTAAAGTTGATTTTGATGCATTATATAAAATGATAAAAGTTAGACCGTCTTTGTAATTTTTTAATTCAATCAATTTTTAGTATGTTTGAAATTTTCAGTCATTAATTTAAATCTTTGACTTTAGATTTTAATTGATCAAAAAAATTATTTTATTCTCTTTCTAAATTTTTTTCATAAAGCCATCCCAGTATCATGCAACGTGGCGAACTGCAAGTCATGTCTCGTTGCAAATGTATGCATCCAATGCAACGATGGATACACGCTGGACACCAATAACAACGTTTGCAGAAGTGGGTGGTTGGACAAATTTCAATTTTGTTCAAAGTTATACTGAAAAGTTTTTTATACGATTGTTTTCAAACTTAATTTGTAACAAACTTATAGTTTAAATTATTTCAAATAAAATCATAAGACGTTTATTATACCATCCATAATTTCAGTCCAATGTAACATTGCTAACTGCTTGACGTGTAACTCTCCCAACGTGTGTGCAATCTGCAACGTTGGATACGTTTTGAATGCGGCCAACAACAGATGCGACGGTTAGAAAATTCGTTTTGTAAAGTTTATTCCAATTAAATTCTGTTATGATTTTTAACTTCAAATATTCAAAAATAATAAGTTTGTTTATGTTCTAATGACAGTGCAATGCAGTGTTCCCAACTGTCAAAGTTGTCAGTCACCCAACAGATGTTCTCAGTGTAACAGTGGCTACAACTTGGATAGCAGTGGAAATTGTGTTGGTCAGTATAAACTTTATGCTTTTTTTAGAAAATAAAATTTTTGTGCAGATCCCTATAAAATCTTTGATTTATAGTACTGAGAACACAAAAGCATTTGAACAAAAATGCTATTCGAATTTCGATAAATGTATAAATTCTATTTTTAAATTTTTAACTTGAAATGTTCAACTGTAAAGCGGTAATACATATAATTTTATTTGTTTTATTCAAAATTTTTTTTCTAAAACGCAATTTGTAGCAATATTTTTAAAATAGTTATTACAACATTACCTAGGAACATTATTATTTTTTTAAACTTCATGATTGCTTTTCAGCCCAATGCAACGTTCAGTTCTGCCAGCAATGCCAAGCACCAAACAAATGTTCCGTCTGTAACAGTGGCTACTATCTGGATAGTAATGCAAATTGCATTGGTACGTATAAAGTTTCAAATTTGACATTTCTTATTTGGAATGAAATTTTGTTTACAGAGTTATTATTCTTTTCAAATAACTAGAGCCTATTTTGATCTGCAAGCATTTTTCACCTTTTTTGTTTTTCACTTTTTTCAGTAGTTTTTGATGCAACATATAAAATGATTATTTTTTATCATTTTTGTAATTTTTTAATTCAATCATTTTTTAATGTTATCAGAGAAATTTTCTGTCTGTAGTTTAAATCTGTGACTAGAGTTTTATTGATCTAAAAAATTATTTTATTTTCTCTCTAAAAATTGAATTTTTTTCAAAAAGCCATCCCAGTATCATGCAACGTGGCGAACTGCAAGTCATGTCTCGTTGCAAATGTATGCTTCCAATGCAACGATGGATACACGCTGGACACCAATAACAACGTTTGCAGAAGTGGGTGGTTGGACAAATTTCAATTTTGTTCAAAGTTATACATCTGATTCAATGGAACACATCATACACACTACTTTTGAAAGACGGCATCAAACCCAGTCACTGCATACTAATTCCCTTGATGTGGCAACCCATAATCGTTAAATTATTTTTTTATATACATTCATACTCTAAGTTACTGTACTTTTGCTATTTCACTATAATACTACATTACAATTTCAATAAATCACAACTAAAAAACTGGAGAATTCTATTTCGCAAAAATATGTTTTTGGAAATGGTAGAAAAAAGCGCAACAAAGTTCTAGAATGTATGGGATATGATTTCAATCATCTTTATCAAAACTGTGAAATTGACATTGAATCGTAATCATTTTTTACTACATCGCTAATAAGTATTAAACAATGAGATCATTAAATTTTTTTGAGATGGCTGAGGAACATTTTCAATTTTGATAGTGGCAAATGAAAATTGAACATCAGGCAAATTTGGAAAATTTTTTTCTCCAAGATATAGAAACAAGTTTCTATAATAGAAACAAAAATTGATTTGCCATTGGGAGAAAAAAAAACGATTGGCGATAAATAATTTATAATTATATAGACAGCCTTTGTGAAAAGCAACAGGACGCATCACCACCGTTACCATAGAAACAGACAGAAATAGAATAATGACTTCTTGCGATGTTAAAAGATATTATTTTAAAAACTTAAATTAATAATACTATAGTAAAAACAAATTGTTTTATTCAGCGCAAAATTCATTTAAAATGTTCTAAGCATAATTATTCAAAATTATATATGTGTATATGTACAAATATATACATATCACAAAAACCACAAGCAGGCTAACAAAACCATATTTTAGCAAATTTTAAACAAGCAAAATATTTATAATCGGCACGCATTCTGCATATAAATACAAACAAAAACAAAATTTCATTAATTGATAGACCGAAAAAAAAAATGATAAGATAAGATAAGTATCCATTGGCGAAGGTTTGCACAATCGAAAACCTGAAAAAATTGGTGACGGTCTCATGCGACCTCTGGAAAATCCTCATTGGACCTCCAAAGAGGTTTCGACCCACAGGATGAGAACCGCTGACTTAGGAGCATTATTAATTTTATTAAACGTTTTGAATCCTATCCAGCACAATGCAACGTTCAGTTTTGCCAGCAATGCCAAGCACCGAACAGATGTTCCGTCTGTAACAGTGGCTACTATCTGGATAGTAATGCAAACTGCGTTCGTAAGTATATAGATTCAAATTTGAAACTTCTTTTTTTAGAATTATTGTCTCTTTTCAGAGTAGTAATTTTTCAAATTACGATTAATCTTTTTCAATTCAATCAATATTCTATGATATTAACAATTTTGCTAAGGGTCATCAGCGTTTTATTGATCGGAATAAAGTTTTTTATCCTCTAAACATTGACATTTTTTTTCAAAAAAGCAATTCCGGTATCATGCAACGTGGCAAACTGCAAGTCATGTCTCGTTGCAAATGTATGCATCCAATGCAACGATGGATACACGCTGGACACCAATAACAACGTTTGCAGAAGTTAGTATACATTTTATTTTTATTAATTTTTTAAGAATTATCGTTCGTTATTCAATAACGAACATTAATATAAAAGTTCCTTCATGTTTTATGTTCACATTTATATTTAATTTTGTTATAAACTTGATTTGTAAAACATTTTAGGTCATTTAAAGATTAATAAATATATCAAATGAGATGAAAATTAAATGTTCTCCATTATTTTCAGTCCAGTGTAATATTGGTAACTGCCTGACGTGTAACTCTCCGAACGTGTGTGCCATCTGTAACGTTGGATACACTTTGAATGCCGCCAACAAAAGATGCGATGGTTACAAAATTTCGTTTTTTGTTCAATTTTTTAAAAAGTATTTTCGGATTTTTATATAAAAAACTGAACAATGCACTAAATAAAAACATTTAAATAAATCATTCGATAACAGTACAGTGCAACGTCCCAAACTGTCAAAATTGTCAGACACCCAACAGATGTTCTCAGTGTAACAGTGGCTACAACTTGGATAGCAATGGAAACTGTATTCGTTAGTATAAAAAACTTGTTTTTCACACATTACCACAACGCATCCAAATCAACATTTTACTCTCTGAAACTAATAATCATCTTTCATCCTTTTTTAACAACTTTTTGAGGAGTAACATATTTTAATTGTTTTTTATTTGTGTTTAATTTGAGCTAGTTTACTAAAAGCTATAATGTTCACAGCTCTTGAAACGTATACAAGCGTGTTTTTACGGATATTCATCACATCATGAGATTCAGGAGTTTAATTATTTTTAGATTTTATCAAAGACAACATTGATCATGTTCTAATGAAATAACTACAGCGAGATATTGAGCTAATTTGCCAGTTGTTAATATTAATATTTTTTTTATTACAACCAATTTCATATGATTTGCTTCCATTAATTTGTATGTTTGTTTGAAATTATTTTCCAGTCCAATGCAACGTTGCCAATTGCTTCTCCTGCAACACACCGAACGTGTGTGCAGTCTGTAACAGTGGATACATTCTGAATTCCGCTAACAACAGATGCGACGGTTTGAATCTTTTGTTCTCTATTTTCTTCTTTTTTTAAATGACAAAAGCAACAGAATTGTGTCAAAATTTTTTTTACCTCCACAGTGCAATGCAACGTTCCAAACTGTCAATTCTGCCAGTCTCCAAACCAGTGCTCCCAATGTAACAGTGGCTACAACCTGAACAATGGGAACTGTTCTCGTACGTATAAATTGTTTATATGTAATTACAATTTATATAAAAATAATTGTAATTAGTTAAAATAGAAGATAAAAACAATTATTCTCAGGTTGTATTGTTGAACTAATAAATAATGTTGTAATGATAAAAAAATAATTTATCCGTTGTATAGCATAAATAAATGATTGAACATTTAAATCTCCCGACGTTGATAATGATAATAATACTATCGACCTTACTGTTTCTATACAATTATATTTATTGATTGGTGAAAGGTCGCATACCATACTTTTAAAAAATGCCAAGTGGCAGATATAAATGTTAATAATTGTCCTAAATTCATTTCGAATGAAGTCGCCCCAATCCCATGCAACGTTGCCAACTGTCGAACATGTCTCGTAGCGAATGTCTGCTACCAGTGCAATGATGGTTACACACTCGATACAAACAATAACGCCTGCAGAAGTCAGTGCTTTTTAAAATATTTTTTTATTTATAAATTAACTTTTTAAATCATTTCACATTACCTGAATCATTTTTTCTTGGCTAATCTTATAGTTTTGATGTTGTACAAAATCATGTATAAAAAATTTGACAAATTACTTTTTTTATAAAATGAAAATTAATCAAAAAATAAAATATCCATTCGATTCTCAGTTCAATGCAACGTTGCCAATTGTTTGTCGTGTAACACACCGAACGTGTGTGCGTTCTGCAACAGTGGATACAACTTGAATGTCGCTAACAACAGATGCGATGGTTGGATATTTTGTTTATAAAATGAAAAATTATTTTAATTGTAATTTATTTTTTCTTTGTTAAAAATCCGTAGAAGGGCTGTTTTACTTGAATAAAATTTGTATGTTTGTTTGAAATTATTTTCCAGTCCAATGCAACGTTGCCAATTGCTTCTCCTGCAACACATCGAACGTGTGTGCAGTCTGTAACAGTGGATACATTCTGAATTCCGCTAACAACAGATGCGACGGTTTGAATCTTTTGTTCTCTATTTTCTTTTTTTTTTAAATAACAAAAGCAACAGAATTGTATCAAAAAATTTATATTATAAATTAAGAAAATAGTATTTTTTTGAATCTGGTAGTGTTTAATTTTAGATTTAAACAAATGCAAGTGACTGAGAGCTTTAATCTCAAGTGGAATCACCATGTCCCAGACCTTTGGTCCTATTAGTTTCAAACTTGTATTTATTAATTTTATTCGGGCTGGATTTGAATAAATTATTATATTAAGAAAAGCACTTTGAGAATGGCAGAAGCTTTCTTACTAGAAAATAGAAACCCTGTAATAAACATCCAACAACAGGCTCTATTACACTGATGATGGTAAAGGTTACCGAAAAAGTGCTTTTATGTAAATGTATATACGAAAAATGCAGTCTAAAATAATTAGAAATTTTATTATTAATTTGAATAAATTAAATAATATCGATAAAAGAATTGTTCGAAAAATTGAAAAACTGGTTACAAACTCAACAATGCGGAAAATGCGTATAACTATTATTTAATAAATCTCTCTCTCTTTCTATATATATATATATATATATATATATATATATATAATATAAAATTTAAATAATAGTTATACGCATTTTCCGTATTGTTTATTCAAATCCAGTCCGAATAAAATTAATAAATGCAAGTTTGAAACTAATAGGACCAAAGGTCTGGGACACGGTGATTCCACTTGAGATTAAAGCTCTCAGTCACTTGCATTTGTTTAAATCTAAAATTAAACGCTACCTGATTCAAAAAAATACTATTTTCTTGAATTAGGAAGTGTTTATTATTATCGACTATATAAAAATTAAATCTCAGATAAAAAACCTGGCATATAAATACATAACAGCCAAAACTAAGGCAGCAAAATTTAAATCAATTCCAACATTTTTAATAAGACTAAAAAAAGAATTCATCAAAGACATTAAAAATAAAAAACAAAGGCACCAAATTTTTAAATTAATTCCAACATTTTTAATAAAACTAAAAGAATTCATCAAAGACATTAAAAATAAAAAGACCATGGAAAAATTATAGTTTGAATTTCTTCCTTGGTTACTAAAGCACCCAGAAATTGATACGTCAATAGCAGGAATGGGCCAAGATGTAAAACTAGCAAAAACCTTAGTTAAAAAAAAATTAATAACAATTTAAACTTTATTCAAATATATACGGATGGATCATAGGCAAAGGAAACGTGTTCATTGATTAATGATGCACCTACCGGGAGCTGCTTAAATTTACACGGCAGAGATCCTTGCTATAGACAAAAAAAGACATGGCTTTAAACTTCATTATTAATTCAGAGAAAAATAAATTTTTAGTATTTTCGGATTCCTTGTTTACTCTATCAGCCTTGAAACAATACAAACTTCTAAATCCATTAATAATTCAAATGAAAATTAAAATTTATAATATCCTGGATTGCAAAAAAATTAATTACAATATGAATCCCCAGTCACGTTGGAATTTAGAGAAATGAAAAGGTAGATCAGATGGCTTCTCAAGCTCATTCGATGCCATTATCTAAATTTCCAATTCCGTCCAGTGATTTAAAGAAATCAACAAACAACCTTATTGTTGAAAAAAGGCCGCAAGAGTGGATTAAAACATCAAATTCCTTAAATTAATTATGCCATCAGTAAATAACAAAAAGTTTAATAATAGTTATTTAAATCGTCAACTTCAGTCTGTAGATCAACAGATTAAAAATAGGACTACCAGCAATCATACATTCCTGGATCCTCAACAAAACAAAGCCACCTTATTGTGAAACCTGCGACAAAAAACTATTAATTTAGCATATATTAACTGAATGTGAACAATTCGATTAGATCAGAAGAAAACTCGGGGTTCCATCAAATGAAAAATTGCTTTTTCGGAATAAAAATTCGAAAAGTCTTGATTTCATTTGTAAAGGAAATAGATTTGATCAACAGAATTTGAAGTTTTCTAGATGTCACAACAAAATAATCAGTTTCAAAGGATCCAATGGCGTGAAAATAGCAGCATCGTGCTGAAACGCCGTTAAGCTGCAAAAAAACAATAATTTTTAATATATTTATTACCTTCTAAATAGAAATTTCGTCGTTTCACTGAGCTGCACTAGAAATGTTTTTAAATGTTTGTTTAATGCTACAAAGTTAGAATAATATTGATATATACATGTCTTTTCATTTTAAATTTTAATCCCGATAATATAGTGATTTTTATTTTATTTAAAGTTGCAATAATTATTGCCTCGATAGTATTTTTATTGAAGTTTTCCTTGCAGAAGATAAAACAAATATAAATTTTGATTCACTTATTAATAAATCCAGTCCAGTGTAACGTTGCCAACTGTGTTTCGTGCAATACACCGAACGTGTGTTCAGTTTGCTACCAAGGATTCACTCTGAATGTTGCTAACAGATGCGATGGTTATACTTTTTTACCAATTCGAACTGATTTGCATTAATTTGCATTTTTTTATTGATTTTTATTGAAACTCTCGAAACTTCAAAACTATCAAAACTGACAGATTAAAAAAATGATTGTCATTTTTTTCTTTTACAAACTCATTCAGTCCAGTGTAACGTTGCCAACTGTGTCTCGTGCAATACACCGAACGTGTGTGCAGTTTGCAACACTGGATACACTTTGAACGCTGCCAACAACAGATGCGATGGTTGTTTTTTATGTCTTTTGATTTGAATTGTATGGTGAATTTTTAATTTTTCCATTTTCATTTCTAATTCAAAAACTTGCAGATCACTACAAAACAGATACAACTAGTTATATTTTTATTTTCAGTGCAATGCAACTTTCTATTTTGTCAAACCTGTCAGTCACCCAACAGATGTTCTCAGTGTAACAGTGGCTACAGCTTGGATAGCAATGAAATCTGCATTCGTTAGTGAAGTATTTTGATGTGCTACGATAATGATGATGACAATTTTTTTGAATCTTTTGTTTCCACACCCTGCATTGAGGCTTTTTTTCTTCATATAAAAGACTAAATAAAATTTTCAACAATTAAAACAATATTATTAAGAATTTATATTGAGAACAATTTCAATAAATTATATTCGCAGCACAATGCAACGTTCAGTTCTGCCAACAATGCCGAGCACCGAACAGATGTTCCGTCTGTAATAGTGGCTACTATCTGAATAGTGATGCAAACTGCGTCCGTGAGTATTTCAGTTTGAAACATAGTTATAAGTTTATAATTTAAATTTTTTAGTTTTCTCAAGTTTTCTGTTTTGAACTAAACACTGAAAACAATTATTTTGAATGAAGAAATTCCAATAACGTGCAACGTTGCCAACTGTCGATCATGTCTCGTAGCGAATGTCTGCTACCTGTGCAATGATGGTTACACGCTCGATACCAACAATAACGTCTGCAGAAGTGCGTTTTGTTTTGAATATCATCCGGTTACTTATTGTAACTTTTCAGTTTGTTCTGACCTACTCTGAAATTTTAATCATAATTTGTTGGAGAGTTATAAACTTATTCAATTGTAAATGCTCAGCTGTTTAAACAAGTAAAAATTTGTTAAATGTAATGAACCCGAACAATCATTTGATACATAACTGTCATTTTCAGTCCAATGTAATATCGCTAATTGTTTGACGTGTAACTCGCCGAACGTGTGTGCACTGTGCAACAATGGGTACACGTTGAATGGCGCTAACAACAGATGCGATGGCTGGAAACTATTTTTCATTTAAAATAAATTTTGATCACAATATTTTTCATAATTTTTAAACAAAATATTTTCTAACCAACCAAAATCTGAAACATACAAAATTAAAATAGAATTTGTATAATGATGACAGTGCAGTGCAACGTTCCTAATTGCCAGAACTGTCAGTCACCCAACAGATGTTCCCAATGTAACAGTGGCTACAATCTGGATGGCAATGGAAACTGCATTGGTGAATAGTAAAAAACTAAAAATTTTAAAATTAGTATAAATTATTTTGACCTAGTTTGTGCAATTTTGCCTGATGTTCTAGTGAAGTGACATGCAAAAAATTGTGTCACTTTAAAATTCACGAGAAAAATGTTTTTTTTTTTTAATTTTTTAAATTATTTCTTTGTTTTTATTTCAGCTCAGTGCAATGTCCCAAACTGTCAACAATGTCAGACACCCAACAGATGTTCACAATGTAACTGTGGTTACAGCTTGGATAGCAATGGGAACTGCGTTCGTTAGTACTGAAAAAAAAACTATCACTATTTTGGCCAATTTTTTCATCTTTTGTTTTTTCTCATGTGACGTTTCATTAGGAAATCATTTTTAGTTTTTTGTAGGGTACTCCGCTTAATTGAGGATTGTTCTTTTGAAAGACTCCTTTACGTAGCAATTAAATGTTGATTGTTTATAATAAAATCAAATGGTATAATGTTCGTTCATGTATTTGAAAGCATGCTTACTTCGGTACCTTCTGCAAATTCATACAAGATTTTAATTAAAATAAATTTCAAAAGAAAGGTAATATTCGAAACGAATAAATGTGAAAGCAACTTACTTTAATGTGTCATACAAATTTATGGCGTTATCCAGATAGTCTCGATGTTTTCTTAAAAAAATTGTCAGAAGCGTACTAACTATTTAATGCCTACAAATATGGTTGAACTTCAACTTATTCCAAACTATTCAATTGTTTTTTCAATATTTTGTATATTTTTTCAAATTTCAGCCCAGTGTATTGTTCCAAACTGTCAGCAATGTCAAACCCCCAACAAATGTAGCCAATGCAATAGCGGTTACAACTTGGACAGCAATGGAAGCTGCGTCCGTGAGTACAGAATAATTAATTTCTAATAAATTTTTTAATGCAGTACTGAATACAGATAACAAATTTTAATTTCATCCGCTGATTTATCTGAAGTAACAAATTATTACAGATTTTGTCCAGCTTCAGTCAGAGGAGGATCTAAACAACTTCAACGGGGGTGGGCAATATTTTGGAAATGTTTAAATTTTTAATAATTTTTGTGGGGTGGCCAAGATTTGTGGTATTTTTTCATTGCAAAACTAAATTTTACTGACTGTCACAAATTTAATTTTACTGTTAATTTTACAAATACAGCTCACAAAGGGGGAAGCACGGCCTCCCTTGGCCCCCATAGATTTGCCATTTTTATAATCTTCATCAAATTTAAAAAAGATTATTATTATATATTCATCTAAGAAAAAATTTCAAAAATTTCATGATTTAGTGAAAAGTTACAAATTGGTGCCAGACAATATGCGTTGTTTTTTCGCAAACACGAACAAACTTTTTGAAGACCCTTTAATATGAAGTTTGTAATGCCGGCTCACGCAATCATGCAAAATGTGTGTTTGCAATTTGTGCATATCTGTTTTGTCATTTGTAAAATCAATTTTTCTGACTAAAGAAGAACTGAATTTCGGTTATTAATTAGGTCTAAGCATCGTTTGTAAAGTTAAAGTAAGTTTAATTTGTAACTTTTTGCTGAGGTTTTAGATTTTCGTGATTTTTATATATGTTGTAGATACTAATAAAAAAACTAATATTTATTTATTCTTTTTTCAAAATTTTAATTTTTAAAAAAGTTATAACGTTTTTTATAAAGTCCTTTATAAAGGACGCTAACAGAAACTGACACCCTGAAACGCAACCATAGTTTAAATTATTTTTTATTGTTCTTTTCTCAATTTTTATCAATTTATGTAACAAATAAACAAAAGATTGAAAATATAAAATAAAAAAATCTATGTCATTAACAAAAGTTATATAATCATTTATGAAAATCAGGTGAACAAGCAAAGTCCAGTGGCACATCACATGGAAAACATAATAAGTTTGCCTTTTTGCCACAATGGCCACATCTTCTTTGTTTGGGCATTTTTTGTAGATGGTGATGGAAGTGGGTTGTAGCTTGAAATAAACAGAACTTATTTATTGGCCTCAGTTTGAATTATAATTTGTTGTACGATCTTACACATTATAGATAACACTACAAGGATCAGATTTTAGTTTCATTTCATTATCATTTTGTTTTACGGACGTTTACTTTATGTGCAGTGTGCTATGATTTTGTGTCAAATAGTTGTACGAACAAATTATGTTATATGCGCCTGATAATTTTTGAAATTGTTTCTGTTTTTTCTTTTTGGTGGCCTATAAAGCAAAATAAGCTTGTATGGTCTCCAAGCCATTTTTTTGTGGTTAATAAAATGTGTAAATAAAAAATAATAAAAAAATATATATATATATACATATAAACGTAAAATCACCACTACAGTAAAACTCCTCTAGAGAGGACACCATTGGGGAATGAACAAACTGTCCTCCCCTCTTAACTGCACTCTCCTCAAGACTCAACATCAAAATCTTTTTTGATATACTACATAAAAAATTAAAATAAAACAACACGTTTTTAATATTGTTATGGAAGAAAATCATTCATAGTTGTCTGTTTGCCAAAACATTTTGTTTTTAACAATTCAATTTCTAAAATATTTTCAATGTTCTCAGAAAATTGTAACAATTCTCTATTGCCCATATGTATCGAATAGGAAGTTAGCTTCCTGGCACATTGTAATGCCATCTTTGTAGAAACATCTTGGACTGGAACCTCTTCTTCCTCTTCATCATCTTGGACTTCAAATTGTTCATGATTTTCAGAACTTTGTGGGCTATGGATTGAGTCATCATTGTTATCCATGGTTACAAAATTCTCCCAAGTAACAGAACCCAAAAGGCTGGTTATGGTAGGATCAGCTTCAATCAGCTGCACATCTGTATCTCTATTTTCTCCTATTCCAAAACCACACTTATTAAAAC